CTTCTTCTCTGTGCTTGTGTCGTCTTGTTGATGCGCACTTGCATTTTATTAGCATCTTGGCATAGTTGGCTAAACCACATTTTGCCCATGTTGCGATATCTGGTCACATCTGGTATTTGAAACCAACTGTTACAGTTTAAAAATATTATGTTTTGCATTAATGCTCTGAGGCTAATGATTTACAACAACCTGGAGTTCGTCAGTCAAATGCCATGTGACCTTTAGTGTCTCATCTGTTGATGTTTAAAATGCTGACAGGATTGTGTTTGGGATTGGATTAAATAAAACATGTTGTTTTTTGGGGTTTTTTTCGCAGTGTTTCCTCCTGTTTAGTTTGGAACAGACGGCCTGTAGTGAGATACTGACCTCATTTTGAAGAGCTTGTTTTGATGAAGTCAGCACATAAACAGTGGCTGTGTGGAATCTGGATCTGTGTACTGTACTGTACTGTACTGTACTGTTCCGCGTCTAATTTATCTGCTTGTTATTTTCAGCTTGACGCATTATTGAAACTGAATCCGTTCGTTTCAGGCGGATCACAAACCTTTAATTGCCGTGTCATTTGTGTTCTGTCGCAGAGGTGTTAGTGTTCATGATGGCATCCAGATAATTACGTATAATGTAGAACGTGGGCGCACTGACACATGTACTGTGCAGCAGAGTAGGTTGTACATGCGCTCACTAAATCAGTCCTTTGAAAGACAAAGTCAAACTTCACATGGCAACTGAGCAGAATGTTTGAAGCTCTCCAGGAAGGGAGGTCGTCCTATGGTAACCTGGGCTGGGTGCATTATCTGTGGTGTTGAGTTTGACCCATGTGTGTATACCATTTGTTTCAGTGTATGTGGGCCCTTTGTGTCTTGTTAGCAGCTGTTTAACTGTTAGCTGTGTACTTTATTTCTGGGCTGCCCAGCCCTGGGGCAGGAGGCAAACGATCCCTGTACCTGTCCAGAAGAATGTTGTTTTTTGATGCAGCCCAGGAGGGAACAGGTCTGATGGTGTGTCTGTTACAGAGTCCTGTGTCAGATCTTGGTTCTGGGTCACCTCGGGCGGCTGAACTGGTTGTTCTGAACGTGCTGGTCGGTGGTGGTTTCTTGTGCATTACTTCGTCTTTGATGGGTTTCATCACTGGGGTAGAATGTTTTTCGATGAGTCTTTTGATGGGTTTCATCACTGGGGTAGAACGTTTTTCGATGAGTCTGCATACTGAGCTTTGTTCTGCTTCACTGGTCCATGGATGGCGCTGCTGCTGCTGTTGTCGTCGACTCGTACCTACATTATGTTTTCTTTTGCCTCTGGGAGAAAGTTTTATCTTGTGCTATTGAGTAACTATTGAGTTGTTCCTACAGGGCAACACTAGCCCTTTATGGGTGGATACGTTAGGCAATAGGGGTTATTACCTCACTGTGTCCCTCATCAGACGACTCCTCCCTTCCTTCCCAGTGGCACAGTGGTGTAAACACGCCTTTCTCCAAAACAACATTTAAACCTTGGTTGATTTTCTTTTTCTTTTCTTTGTTCTCTGGTGATTCCAAATGTAGATCCCTCTGTTCCAGTGTTAGGAACTGATGTTCAGATGGAACAGAGTCTGAGATTAGGATCACACTTTGACTACAGTTACATTGGTGAAAAAAAAATATAATCAATATATCATTGTGCCTATAGTATCGCAATAAATCGCAATATGTTGTATTGTTGCCCCTGTATCGTGATACGTATCGTATTGTCAGATTCTTGCAGCCCCTATTTATACACATTCTGCATTATTAAGTCAATAGGTCTCAGCTGTGAGTCTGAAAGTATTGAATATTTTAAAAGCATAATATTTTTAAATATTGATTCTTGGAAACCAGCCTCCAAACAAAAACATTGATCCAGATTATTTCTGTCGCCACAGCAGAGAAACTAATGAATACGTTGTTGTTGTTGTTGTTTAACTTTTCTGTATTTACAGGCTGAAAAATCAATTTTATGTTTAAGTGACTGAATTTAATGTGTCTGGTGGTGTGAAAGTGTCTCACTCAGCAATTGTTTTTTCTTTTTCTTTGTAGAATTTCAAACAATTCCTGGACCAGACGTTCTGTTCAACTCCAGCATCGTCCTCCACCGCTGCTCCGTGACTCCTCCTCTCCTCCGTCCTCTGCTTCCACCACCTTCATCCTTCTCTCCCCCGTCATGGCACCTGTGTTCCCACTCTGGCAGTGTCACTGACCTCCACCTCGGTCATCCACCATGGAGAGAAAACGCAGAAAGAAATCCCATTAGCCGCTCTGCTCGTTCGCAGTATGGACTCCGTCTCAGAGCTCTGGACCTGAGATGTTCTGTCCCCTCCCTGGACCTAGCACAGCTTTGAGCTGCTCTCCTTCTCATTCAAAATAGCACAACTGCTGGTTTACTTTTAAAGGCCTCATGGTCTGTTCCACCTCTCTGCTCAAAATGCTCCTGTTTCCCGTCTGGGGCTCAATTCTTTTCTGCCTCCTGACGGGCTTCCTGCCTGTGGTGGGGATGGAGCCTGCAGGGGGCGCCAGGTCCGGCTCTGAACCCACCCCTGATCCTGACCCCGACCCCCTACTCTCACCGTCTGCCTCCAACTGCTCCCAGTTAACCCTGAAGCTGGAGTTCTCCACCAAGGTGGTGGAACACGGTGAGGTTCTGTTTTAGTCCCCACTGTAAACGGACACATTTCTCTGCCTCCTTTTAATGGCTAATCTTTTAAGATGATAATTGCATGCTATCGTGTTTAGCATGTAGCGCACACCAAGACAACTGGTCTGCACAACCTGCTGTTCAGGCTCCGTTCCTGTGTTACAATAGGATTAAGAAAGTCCTACCAACTGGACTAGTTCAACTTGGAGGACGGAACAGCAAGTGTTAGTGGTGGTTTTGGGTTCGATTCCCCAGAGGAACCACATACTTGGCGCCTCCGAGGGGCGACCTGATGCAGCAGTTCTGATGTTGACACAATACCTTCCCAATTGTGGGATCAGTAAAGTTATTTCTTCTTAAAACTGCACTCTGTTTCATATTATTCCAAGTGATTATCAAACGGTGGTCCACAGGCTGTATTCCAAGTGATTATCAAACGGTGGTCCGCAGGCTGTATCTGGCCGGATCTGCTGGTGTGTGAAGACTTAAGATTAAATTCTTCTTCTTCCTCTTCCTCTTCCTCTTCTTCTTCTTCTTCTCCTTCTCCTTCTTCTTCTTCTTCTTCGTCTCCTTCTCCTTCTTCTTCTTCTTCTCCATTTTCTTCTTCTCCTTCTTCTTCTCCTCCTTCTTCTTCTCCTTCTTCTTCTTCTTCTCCATTTTCTTCTTCTCCTTCTTCTTCTTCTTCCTCTTCCTCTTCTTCTCCTTCTTCTTCTTCTCCTACTTCTTCTACTTCTTCTTCTCCTTCTTCTTCTACTTCTTCTTCTTCTCCTTCTTCTTCTACTTCTTCTTCTCCTTCTTCTTCTTCTCCTTCTCCTTCTTCTTCTTCTTCTTCGTCTCCTTCTCCTTCTTCTTCTTCTTCTCCATTTTCTTCTTCTCCTTCTTCTTCTCCTTCTTCTTCTTCTTCCTCTTCCTCCTCTTCTCCTCCATCATCTTCTTCTTCTTCTTCTTCTCCTCCTTCTCCTTCTCCACAGAGTACATCGTAGCATTCACGGGCTACTTCTCGGCCAGAGCTCGTAGCCACTACATCAGCAGTGCCATCAGGAACACCAGGGACCAGGATCTGGAGTGGCACATCGTTCCCAGAGAAAACCCGGCGTCAGACTTTCCCAGCGACTTTGAGCTGGTCCACATCCGTCAGGCCTCACCCAGCAGTCTGCTGACCCTGGAGGACCACCCTTACATCAAGAGGGTGACACCGCAACGCAAAGTGTTCCGAACGCTCAAATACTTTCCCTGTAAGTTTGCGCTGCGTGGTTGGGTTTAAAACAGGGGTGTCGAACATACGGCATGCGGGCCAAGTCTGGACCGCTAGGGGGTTCAACCTGGCCTTCTTGATGAATTTTGAACGTGAATGAAATACACAAACACTTCACCTTTGTGATGTTTTGTCATTATATATACTTGTACTAATTTGCAGGAAAACCAAAGGTGGATAAACTAAAATGTATTTATTGTTATTGTTATGGTAATCATGTTATGATTGTACTGACCGGCACATTTCACACCTAATTAGGCCGTACGTGACACCCCTGATTTAAAACCTTCAGACGTCCACAGAAAAACGTCTGACAGGCTGTTGATTTGTCTGTGCTTCTCTCTGCTTTGTTGGAGGTGAACAAAAGAAATGTGTGTTTGTGTGAAGTGCAAGACACCTCGGGGTGTAACTGTGTGTTTGCGAGTGGTGTGTGTGTGTGTGTTTGTGTGTGTGTGTGGTTTGTGGGGGAAGGGAGAAAAAAAAAAACACAGGGAAAGTCTGTGTTTGCTCACAGTGGGACACAGTAGGTGAGTCAGTGTGGTGGAGTTGGCCTGGACAGGGGGTGGACTACGCCCTGTGCCTGGCAGATGAAAGACCTGACTGTGCCACCAGTCTGAGCATAAACACTCACAATTCGGCATCAATATACAAATGAATCAACAGACTTCACACACACACATCCTGGAAAACCTGGAAAAATGATAAGGAAATCAATGACCAATTTTCCAGTTTTATTCTGGACAGTTATTTCTCCATCTTCTATTGTTGTAACTGTTAGACTGTGTAAATGTAACAACTCCAAAGCTTATTAAAAATATTTAATATTATAATTTAATATAAACAGGGCCTTAAAAGAAATTTGTTGACTTTTTGCCATTGGTTAAAACTCACACTCTTTTTTTTTTTCTGAGTGTTTGTGTTTCTGGAGGACAGCTATTAAAACAGACACAGAGATGGAACAGCTGTGCTTCACACCCAGTATTAAATAACTTGACCTGATGAAATCCTGCCTTAATTGTCTGCCATTGTCCTCATGTTCTGGCGGAGTGGTTGGATACACGGCCGTTCGGGTCGGCACATCAATAAAAAGAAGGTTGAAAACCGGTTGAATGACTGGAATATTTGATGACGCCGACTTCAAACCTAATGCTGTGTCTTCTGCCTCCGCAGCATCTGAACCCTCGGCGCCCTGCAACGCCACCCGAGGGACGCAATCGTGGCAATCATCCCGTCCATTCAGAAGAACCAGTCTGTCACTCGGTTCCGGTTTCTGGCACGCCACCGGACGCCACTCCAGCAGGCGTCTGCTGCGGGCCATCCCACGCCAGGTGGCCCAGATCCTGCAGGCAGATGTGCTGTGGCAGATGGGACACACTGGTAACACACGTCTCATTTGCCTTCTGTGAAATAAGTTCCTCAGATGAGAGGAGTTGTCTTTATTATTGTTATTTTCTGCAGGTTCGGGTGTGAAGGTTGCGGTGTTCGACACGGGCCTGAGTGAAAAGCACCCGCACTTCAAGAACGTCAAAGAGAGGACCAACTGGACCAATGAGAAGACGCTGGACGACGGTGAGGGAGGAAGTCATGTTGTTCATGACGATTAAGGAACAGTCAGTGATTGATGTTTAGTTTCAGAGTCAGTGTAAAGCTTCACTCACCCCTCCTCTGTTTCAGGCCTGGGTCACGGGACGTTCGTTGCAGGAGTCATCGCCAGTATGAGGGAGTGTCAGGGCTTCGCCCCCGACTCTGAGCTGCACATCTTCAGAGTCTTCACCAACAACCAGGTACACGATGTACCTCTCTGTACAGTGACTGTTGCTGCACTTTGACCTTTTGACCTTTTGTTTTTGCTATTTACTTCAATCAGTCGTCTGTAAAATATAACACTTTATGACAAGAAGTTTGAAATAATCTACTGAAATCTAATCTTTTTTTGATTTGATTTTAACATTAATTCTTCATGAAAAGATTTTTTTTTTATAAAATAGTTCTCATAGTATTAATTAGGCCTCATTTCTAGACGCCGTCTTTTGGTCTTTGTCTTCACTCCCCCACCCCTCCCTCGTTCCTCCCCCCCAGGTTTCTTACACCTCGTGGTTCCTGGACGCCTTCAACTACGCCATCCTGAAGAAGATCGACGTTCTCAACCTCAGTATCGGGGGCCCTGACTTCATGGACCACCCTTTTGTTGATAAGGTACAGGAGAATAAACACACACACACACACACACACACACACACACACGTCAGCTCCAGTATGGCTCAACTGATGTTAAAACTGGGAGCAGATGGTGGGTTTAAATCTGAAACTTAGTTACATCTTGTCTTCACCACGTATTAATGAGCTGCACGCTGAGCAAACTCAGTGATGCGTGTGTCGTTGTAGTATCAGCTTCTGTTTGCTCTTCAGGAATGTAATTTACGTGACGCTGGTCTGTGTGCTGTTTCCTGTCACCTCTGCTCTGACAGGTGTGGGAGCTGACGGCCAACAGGGTCATCATGGTTTCTGCCATTGGCAACGACGGACCTCTGTACGGGTACGTTCACTCACTCAGTCAGGTGTGTCCCTGCTGGTGGAGAAGAACATTTAAATAAATGCCTTCCTTCGTATACAGTGTTCTAAAGCAGAGGTCAAAGGTTAGGGACCAGAAATAGTCCAGATTTACTTCTCTACTTTCTTTTGGAATATAAAAAAAAAAAAACAAACCCACTCAAACCGTTGTTTTGTTTTTTTTCCCAGCACCCTGAACAATCCTGCAGACCAGATGGACGTGATCGGGGTCGGAGGCATCGACTTTGAGGACAACATCGCCAGGTTTTCCTCCAGAGGCATGACTACCTGGGTGAGTCACAGAGACACACTTCACCTCCCACAACAAACTGGGAGGGCGGGTTATCGTCCTCACAGCAGACATCGTCCTCAAAGATCTGCCTTCAGCCTTTTCAGCTCGTCGAGCATAATGTAACCACCTGATCCTTCATCCACTTCCCATCAGCCGTCATACTTGCAGCAGTGGTTATCTGTCCCGCTCTTGAGCAGACATCTGCTCTGGGATCATACTGAAGCGTCCACCCTCTGATCGTGACAGTCGCTCTGCCTCTGTCGCTCAGCCGTGAAGAGCCCTTTCACTAAGACTTTCCTGCCACAGTCTATTAAAATATATATGGTAATTTGTTCTCTCTCTCGCTCTCTCTCTCCTCTTCTCTCGTCTCCTTCTCCCTGCTCTGACTACAGATTCTCTTCTCAAAATAATGAAAGAATTCTATATTTTCACAGGAAATAAAGTGGCAGCTTTTTGTTCAGTTTTTACAAAGTGGATCTGGTGGTCAATAACCGTTAACTAATAACTGATGACGGAGCTCTAGCTCTTTGAAAGGGAGTTCCTCGTTTTATTGGGAAATAAAATAGGTCAAAATGACCTGGTTATTTGCATTAATTTACTTTATTATTCAGATAACTGATAAATTATGGGATTTGAAAAAAAACAAAAAACATCGATTTAGGTCAGTGGTCACTAACCGTTTTTGTATCAAGGGTCGTTGTTTAAAATAAAACATCTGTTAGTATCAGAGTCTGAATGACCTTTGACCTGTTGTTTTGAAACATTGACAGATTATCTGGGAAATGACTGGATTATTTTTGGAATGAAGTAAATAAGTGAAACTCAAGTACTTTTTTTTCACTCTCTCCCACTGCGACCCCGGTACAAAATGACCTACGGACCGGCACTGGTCCCCGGACCAGGGGTTGGAGACCCCAGATTTCAACAACTAGACAATATGGAGTAGTTTCATCCCCTTTTTTTATCCCTTTCTCTGCAGGAGCTGCCAGGAGGCTACGGCAGAGTGAAGCCTGACATTGTCACATACGGCTCCGGTGTCCGCGGCTCAGGGATGAAGGAGGGCTGTCGCTCTCTGTCAGGCACCAGTGTCGCCTCACCCGTGGTGGCTGGAGCGGTCACACTGCTGGCCAGGTTGGTGGTTTATTTATTTTTAAAGAGTTTGGTTTATGTTTTAATACCACTCTGTTTTGTTAACTGTTTTTTTATTCTGAAAAAGGCTTTAAAACCACAGAGAAACTACATTAACCCAGAGCTCAGTTTAGCCACTTCCTGTCGTATGATCCCTTAAAATCTGGGAAACCAAACTAGTCCCTGAGGAGAGATTGGTGTCATGACATTGTTCTCAGTCTTCTCACGGTTACACACTACATGAGTGGAGCCTACAATTCCCTGATTAAATCTTGTGTCACCACAGGCATCCCCCCTCCCCTCACCTCCTCCCTGGAGCCTCACACACAGACACACCCTCTGTCCTCCTCCAGCGCTGCTCGGAATTAAAAGTTTAGAAATCGAACACCGGCCCTGAATTGCACTTTCTCACTTCATTTCCTCCTCCTGTCCTCCAGCACCGTCCTGAACCGGGAGTTGGTGAACCCGGCCTCCATGAAACAGGCCCTGATCGCATCGGCCCGCAGGCTGCCGGGGGTGAACATGTTCGAGCAGGGCCATGGGAAACTCGACCTCATCAGAGCCTATCAGATTCTCAACAGCTACAGACCTCAGGCCAGGTGAACGTCTCGCTGCGCTCAGACTTAACGACGTGAATTGATCTTCAACTTCATTTCGTTAAGTTTCCCATGTGTATAATCCTGGGTGGTTCTCTTAAATCTTCAGCATTGATTTTGATCTAAGAGACTCGAGCTCTCTGACTGGATACATTATCATCATGACAGTAAAGATGATGATGGTCTCCCATCTTTTATCCTGGACATTTATACCTACTATTTATTGCAGCTCTTTGTGTCATAATTCTGCCATAGATCACAATGACTGCATGTGTTATAATAAGACACATGACATCATCAGCCTGAGACCTCGGTGTGTTATAGGTAGAGACCATCGGTGGAAAAACTAATGAAAAAATGTAATCAAGTTAAAGTATCTTTACTTTGCTTAAATTCTATTCAAGTAAAAGTACACATCTGAATTTTTTTTTTTTAATTTTTTACTTAGTAACAGGTTATTTTCCAATGTAGCAAAATAAAATACTTAAGTCAAAATATACTTAAGTCAAAGAAAGTAAAATTACCTATTGCCGAAACTACTTTTACAAATTACTCACAAAAACTACTCAATTACAGTAACTTGAGTAAATGTAATTTGTTACTTACAGATTAGATTTACAAAGGGAAACCCAACAAAAATCGGTCGTTCTGAGAGAAAAACGACAATATTCAAATCCCAGTCTGACTGTCTTTGTGTCCCACAGTCTGTCTCCCAGCTACATCGACCTGACAGAGTGTCCGTACATGTGGCCCTACTGTTCCCAGCCCATATACTACGGAGGAATGCCCACTATTGTTAACGTGACCATCCTTAACGGCATGGGCGTCACAGGCAGGATCGTGGACAAGGTGGGAACAAATATGAAAGGTTCTAGGTTCACGGCTCCCATGTGTCCTGGAAAGGTCATGTGATGGTGAATGACCTTTTGACCTTACTCTCCTCCTCAGCCCATCTGGCAGCCCTACCTCCCTCAGAACGGTGACCACATCGACGTGGCCGTCTCCTATTCGCCCGTGCTGTGGCCCTGGGCCGGATACCTGGCCGTGTCTATCTCTGTGGCCAAAAAGGCGGCGTCCTGGGAGGGCATCGCTCAGGGTCATGTGATGGTTACCGTGGCATCGCCTGCAGAAAATGATGTGAGTCACGTAGTATTTCCTCCCACTACGTTTGAGCACGTGTCGACTTGGCTGCTGGTTCAGGTTTTATATGTATGTATATGTATATATGGATGTACAGTACATATACATGTATGTACATATACATATATGTGCATAGTTTTAAAGGCACATTTAAAAAATATTTACAATGAGTAGAAGTCAAAGTTTTGTTTTGTGAAGTTACTGTATATTACATTTATATGTGATCGCTGATCTTTTATATGTATGTATATGTACATATGCATATGCTTATATGTACATATATTTATGTATATATCTAAATATACTGTATGTAAGTATGTACTTTGGAAGGTATATCTTATATGACACATTTGAAAGAATCCATTGAACAGTTTTAGCTTATACACAAGTGTTTATTTACATTAAATACTGTAATAGTGAAAGTTTTTTTTACTACCATTTTCTGTTCAATTTTAAACCCCAACATTTTTCCGACTCCAGTCTGAGGTCGGAGGAGAGCTGACCTCCACGGTCAAACTGCCCATTAAGGTGAAGATTGTACCGACGCCTCCTCGCAGCAAGAGGGTGCTGTGGGACCAGTACCATAATCTGCGTTACCCTCCGGGCTACTTCCCCAGGGACAACCTCCGCATGAAAAACGACCCTCTGGACTGGTTCGTGTTCCATACGTCTGTCGTGTTCTGATGAGTCTGACTCTGGACTCCAGATAAATCAAGTTTATGTATTTGTATTTTCCCGTGTTTCAGGAACGGAGACCACATCCACACTAACTTCAGAGACATGTACCAGCACCTGAGGAGCATGGGATACTTCGTGGAGGTCCTGGGAGCTCCCATCACCTGCTTTGACGCCAGTCAGTACGGTGCGTTCACGAACACGAGGACAGAATGTGGAGAGAGAAGAGTCTCGGTGTGAAACGCCGGCGCAGCTGCGGGCCGCTAATGAAGCT